ACAAGTGTTGACCACGGGAGTCAAGACCTTTCAAGCCGCGCCCCTGGTCTACGTTACATGTGGTCCCTTGTCAACTGTTTGCCGTTGAGGATGACCTTTCCCAAAGCATGCAGCACCTATCAGGTCCGCATTCGATCGTTTTTGTTCAAGTACCGCACAACAACGGCAGTGGTATCCTGTCATTCCGCCAATGCTGAATAACAGTGTTCAATCCTTCGGCATGGAGCACAAAAGACAACACTTGTTGGGAGTGCGCAGCAGTGCTGCTTGAGTCGGTGCCTGCCTGCCTGCCTGCCTGCCTGCCTGCCTGCCTGCCTGCCTGCCTGCCTGCCTGCCTGCCTGCCTGCCTGCCTGCCTGCCTGCCTAAACGCCGAGACTCTCGGACTCTGTCTCGCTGAAGCAGGACTGCCTCGGCACTATGTGCACCAGGTGCGTGCCTGCGAGTCGGGAGCAACGAGCAACGCCACGGCGAAAACTTGGTGTGCGTCATGTGTCGTCAGGAGCGCCTTTTATGGGCGCTTCAGGGCCAGTCGCAGAGACCTCCTCGCACTCGACCACCTTTGGGTTTCCTTCCCCGCCCTAGGCGTCGACGCTTAAGCCACGCAACTCACATTGCGGTTCCAAGCCAACTAAGGTCTGAGCTGACATGCAGCAATTGCTGCTGAAACATATCCACGCAGCGATTCTCATGGCGTGAGTCAAAAGGCAAGCCACTGCATGGGATGTCAAGGGCGCTCTGGCTGAAAGTAAAGTTGCCTTGGGGCAGCCCCCCCAGGCGCAGTGCACTTTCAGTCTTTTGGTAGGCGAGCAGCATGGTGGATACATCAGGCCATACCATATTGCTTGCTTGTGTTTGCCATCTTGCTCAACTCGCATAGTCTTATTTGAACAACTTCTCACACTACAGAATCAGCGCATATCATTGATCACCATGCGCAGATCATGAGCCAAGTCTGAGCTGCATTGTAAGGATGTGACAGTACAGCCAGGAGCGAAACCGACAAGCCGTGTGCTGGCTAGCGTCGTGAACTTCAAACAAATTGTATAATGTGTTGGAATCTACTCAAAGGGGACAACACCGTAGCTTGACCACACAGAGTAGTTTGACCATGTCTGATCTCTGTTTGACTGTCTCTGGTGACCCTGTGATTTGCCCCTATCTTCCCCAGAAAAGAACATCCAGACTCTGGGCCCTTCAGGGCGCTTTATCATGAGCTAAGCTGTGGTGAAACACTAACCAACCCGTCTTAGGCGGCTCTGAAAAAGAGACTCAAACTCGGCTGCAAGAAAGGCCCTTGAGCGTGCACGAACTGCTCGGCCCGCCTCCTGGGCGGCTGTGAGGTCGCCTCGCTGCACAAGGCTTGCCTTCACTTGACAAGGGGAGCCGTCCGCCTGCTCGCGCGTGTGCCTCAATGAGGATGGTGAAGCCTCAGACTGTGCAGGCAGAGAAAGAAGCAGGTGGCTTAGCTTGACCAAGCGAGGAACGTCAATAGACATGGCATCTCTCTTAGAGCTCCATCTACTGGAGATGAGCAGGCTTCATCTCCTGAGCTGCAGGCTAATCACCCCAGGCCTGGCATCGAAGCTTGGCTCTTTTTGCGGCATCCTATTGCAACATATGACCCTCCAGACGGGGGGGCACATTGAATCCTTGAATTCCCCCTGCAGGGCCGTTGAGGCAAGTTGCCCTGTCTGTTTCCGCAAGTCTGTTTCGGGCAACCCCACGTCCAGACCGGCATATGATGGTTCTCAAAAGTGAGGACCAAAGGGAACCAAAGGAGTGCCGCTCAATCTGCGCCAGCTGAATGTCTGACCAGCGCCGCTGACAAACACAATATCCTACAAAGTGTGCTTCCCTAAACATTGGTTTCATGTGCTACGAGGAGATGCAAATGAGTGCTCAAGGATTTGGCGAAAGCAGACTTCATTCCAAAATCCATTGATGCACGTTGCATGGTATTCATGTAGGCGAAATTCCGGTCAGGGTGTCTTGCACGCGGAAATGGTTTTCCAAGCTTGTCTGTCTCATGCCTGCACCCTGCAAAACGCAAAGCGGTGCCAGAGCTGTGATCGTGTCCTATTCACATGTGCCCACCAGGAGTCATTTGCTCCAAGCAGACTTTGATATTGAAATGCACCAAGAGCTCGATGTTAGCAATTAATTTAACCTCCAAATGATGAAGAACCTCTTCTGAAACATGTCACAGCGCTCAAGTCTTCAGAACATTCTGAAGCATGCAGGTCAAAGCAGATGTTTGCCCCTGCGTCCGAGTGGCTGGCCAAGTGCCCATATCATGTCCCGAGCAAGGTCCGAGCGAACCAACACGTGCTGGCAAGGCGTGACAGAGACATTCGCCATGTCCTCAAGAACCTTGCCAGAGCAAACGGGCTTTGAGACAATCAAGCAAAACATATGTCCAGCTGCCTGTAAACAATTCACCAAAGGCAATTATTCCCACCTGCAATGTCCTACCTTTGCCCGTTCTTGCGGAACCACAAGCTCGTTGCTTTGGCCGGTCCCCAAAACCTTGCATCCCTCGAAGTGCAAAGTCGAAGGCGGGCACCCAATGCGGCAGGGTCCAAAGCAAATCCTCCGTTTCACGATCAAGACCAAATGACGAGGATGGGCTTGGCTGCTTTTTTGCAGCCAAAGACATCAAGAAATCTGAGGTGGAAAAATCGACCAGAACGCTTCCTCTTGCATGGCCCCCAACACCAACTAGCCCAATCGGCGCCTGCTGTGCCCTGCCATTCAGGGACTCCTTGGCGTACGCATTCATGAGCGCGTTGTAGCCTCATTTGGCTATATGGGTAAAAATCCCGTACCCCCAGTGAACATCCAATTCAATCCCCACTAAATAGACTAAAATGGGTGGTTCACCTACCCCCCGAAATGGTACCATTGGTTTTGACCCACAGCCATTTAGCTGCACAGCCGTGGCTCACATAGCCTTTAGGATAAGTCCGCGTGCATCGCGTAGCCGCAAACAAGACGAGAAATCTCACACCCCAAATTTTCATCCAAGACGGCTGAGCAACCAGCCTGCAGGCAGGATCGTTCGTATGCAGCTAGCCAAAAAACCAAGCTCGTCAAAGCAACAGGCAGGTCAGACGGTAATTATGAAGAGCACAACTAGGTCCTCTGTCAGGCACGCGGAAAGTGCAAATCGCAGAACTAGTATATAACTGGCTTCTTGAAGCAGCTCACGAGGACTGAAGGGTTGGGCGCCATAGGTTCTGGCCAAATACGTGGGCGAATTGAGAAGCACTTCCAAGGCCCGAGCTTGCCACATCCGGCGCCAAACGCTGTTGGAGCAAGTCCTCAAGCATCAGAGTTGTGGGATGAGTGAGAAACAGCAAACTAGCCACACCCAGGCCACAGGGGCAGTTGCAACATGTTTCGCCGGAAGCGCCACGCTTTCAGTGTTTCGCCGGGCAATGTGTTGCTTGGACATGGCTCAAGTTGTGGGTTTGCTCTGTTCTGCACACAATCTGCCGGAGGCACATGAGCTTCTACTCAGGGGCAGCTCATTCTTTGTTCCCCGAATCGGCTCCAAACACGATAGTGTGCTGCGCAAGCTTCGTGCCCTTGTAACGTTGTGCAACCTCCGAACCCTGGAGTTGCCCTGTGAACCATTTGGCTGAAAGCCACCTGCCTGCTTTACGTACGTGGATTTTGCCAACGCAGCACCAGCCAACCGCCCAACCGCCCAACCGCCCAACCGCCCCGCTGCCGCCCGCACCTGGAAGGCCGCAGCGGCGCTCCGGGCGTCTTTGGCCCGGCCCAGCGCCAAGGTGGCGGAGCCCAAGCCGCCTGCGCGCCATGCGGCCAGCCGCTGTTAGCCAGCCCGAGCTGGGCGAGCGTCGGATTCGACGGCGGGAGCCACGGTTATGTCGGCGCAAGTGGGGCAACCTAAGAGCGCGCGCAGCGAAGCAGCACACCAAACACTAATATAAGGGACAAGAAGGAAGATCTAGTTTGGTAAATGTAAATTGTCGAGAAAGTAGGGACGGCAAAGCCAAGCTGTATGTCCCTGCCGCTTTGCTGACTCGCTTGAGCGTTACATTGTCTGTGCATGAAGCAGGGCATAGAAGCAGGTTGGCATCTACCCGATGGGCACCCTGATTGGTGAACTCGCTGGAGTTCTACGTGTATATTTTATGCTCGCAGGCCAAGCGAGGCGTCATTCTGGGACCAGAGAATCCGCTGCAAAATTGCAGTTTGGGAACTGCCTATCGCTTCGCCGAAGGGTTGAAGCATTTGGGCATGGGTCAAAATTACACCACCACAAAACCATAGGTTTTAGTCCGTGAGTTCATTTACCAGGGATCCATTTGGGTACCACTTTTTTGACCCACGGCCAATTTTGTTCAGGCCACTCCGCCCTTTCCGCGTCCCTTCCATTCCGAGCCCCTTGGATCCCTCGAAGCCTCCCACACGGCCATGCAGCTGAAGCCACCGCTCCGCAGGAAAATCGCCTCCAGCAACCTGACAGGCGGCAATACAAACGGAGGCATCGTTGTCTTTCCTGCGCGCTAGGTGACGCAAGTGTTCTTCGGGACTGCCCAAGTGTGAAAGGCAGATCTGCGCCCCTAGTGCATAAGAATCAGGTCAGGATCATCAGAATTACCTGCAACTTATCTTAGACAGGAAGAAACACCTACAGGACTGGCCTGCATCGCGCTCACAAGTGTCAGGCAATGTGGCCAACATGAGCATCCCATTCCCCATCAGTTTGCTAGCAAAGGACATGTTGGCACAATCGTCCAAGGCTGAGAGAATCAGCGTCTTGAACAGCACAGCCGTCAATACGCTGGGGGGCGGGGGGGCTGAGTTTCTTTGAAACTAGCTAGCAGAACAGCGACTGTGAACTCTGGATGGATTCACGTTTCTTTCTGGGGCGTTCCGTCCAGAAACAAGAACATCTATTCCAGTCAAGGAAAGAGTGATGTGTCTAGGTCAAGCTGATTGCCACAACTTGCTCCCTGTTATCCCCAAACCTCTCTTACACGGTCGTAAGTGGTGGTGTCCTGTTGCCCTTTGCTTAATGCCACAAGATCGACTCCAAATAGATCGCCCCGAGAGCTCTGAAATAGCGACCTCCAAGCTACATGCTACACCTCGCGCGCTTGTTTCACAACAGACAAAGCAACCACCAACCTTTGGATGTTCCAACCAATCCCCATAGCCACATAGAACGGCGCATAGCTTCACATTAGCATCACACGGGTACGGATCAACACTAAGCCACGAAAAGATATGAACCGCCGGTGTTGGTCCATTTTTCCATTGGGCTCCATATGAGGCGCCCTCCCACCAACTAACCTGGCAGTGCAAAAAGGCCCTTTTCCATGAGGAAAGCTGTCTTTCTAAAGGGGTCTGTGCACTTCCATGTTAGCTGGTGGGAGGGTACCACGTGGCTCCTCCCAGCCCGGCCCCGCCAGCTGCAACTCCGGGCCGTCCGGCGCCGCGGTCAGCGGCGCCAGACGCGGCCGCAGCGCCGCGAGGCTCGGACTCGGCGGTTCGGTTCGCCGGCCGACGCGTTCGGTGGACGCATTCGTTTGGGTGGCGCTTGGTTTGTTTGGGGTTCTCTTCTTTTCAGAACAGGGGACCCTGGTAGTGCGCTTGCGCGTCTTCTCATGGCTTGAAGTCTTCTCATGGGTCAGCCATGTCAGTTGCACTTGGCCTAACACCTTTTTTGCGCGGCTTTCCCGGTGGCTTCTGCTTGAAACCATCCCCAAAAAGGTCCTCAGAAAAAGACCACTCCCATGTCTCGGCTCCATTGCTCCACTTCATTGCTCGGTTGATCGCTTCGATGAAACCGTTTTCACACATCGAGACCTTTTCCAAGCCGGGGAAGTTGGCTGCCAAGCCCGAACACGAGACAAACACTGGCTCTTTTGAATCGATGTGAGCAGAGGCCCGAGGCATGAGGCCCAGAAGCCCAAAGGCTGGGGAGGCAACCAATGGATCATGGCCTTGAGAAGGACTTCTTGCTACACACATCTTTCATAAGGCAGTAGTCACGCCATCTGGGCATGTGTGCAGGCCGATATCAGGCGCAAGAGACTGCATGACCTTGATACAAAGGAGTTCAATCCTCTCTGTCTCAACAAGGTGATGAGAAAATTGCGGACACACTTGCACAGCGCCCAAAATCAATTGATGTTAAGTTCCACTCACATGGTTCTACCCCAATCAAACCAGGTGCCAGCTCACTCGAGTTCACGCATACCTGTGTGGTTTGCTGGGCATCGTGCTTTGGCACCCAGCAAGCCACAGTTGTCATGTCCTGAGCCCTAGCATCTGCTGAAGACTACTTCATTTGCTTTGATTGATCCCAACGCCACGCCTGCCCCCCTGCCCTGAATTTCCCGCTTTGCTGACCCGCATTTACCAAACAGTACGGCACAGTCACGGTCCCCAGAAGTGAAGGTTGGATCCCCTAAGATGGGACCCCACCAGCAGATCACCGGGTTGATGAGTCCTGCAGGCAAAAAGGAAAACAACATCATATATATATATATATATACACTTGTTCATAGCAAGTCATTTGCAAAGCATATTATGTCATATGACTTCACACAAAATATCCTATGATTTCCTTGGGGTGGGAACGAGCTCCGTGGCACCGCGCCAGCACAGCGCCTCCGGCACCCAGAAGACCTCGCCGGCCTCCTCCAGCATCGGCCCTTCGGGCAAAGTGAAGCAGAGCTCCTGCGGCGCCCCGGCGCCCGAGGCGCCCGCGCCCGTCCGATGCGATCCCGAGTCAACTTGGAACGCCTGGGTTTCCAAAGGAAAGTCGGTTCTTATCAACGACCTTTGGCTTCCCTTTGAAAACATATTTCTGGCGTACCCTCGAACAAACGACACGGCCACATCTGTGGTGGATTGTCGAAGAGTGGCTCCACTGGACGGTCGCCTGTATCTGAAGCAAGACCAAATGAACTCGGAAGTTGCACCAAAGCCAGTGCAGCATGGTAGCCAGTAAACCTGCCGCCTGGCAGCATTGTGTTCAAAGGACTGAGGCCACGGAAGGAATTTCTTTCTGAACCTTCCAAAAAGTGTTTTGGTGTGAGATGTTCCCTGCAATTTGCCAATTTGAGGTGTTCGTGTCCCCCTTCTTTGGTCCCAAGCCCGCATGTAGACCACACGCCAAGTCCTTCGCGATCTGCTCTCGGAGCTCCGCCTCCCTCGAAGGCGGCAGCCTCCAACACAACGGAAAGGCCAACTGAACTGCATGAGTCATCATATCTCCCATCCAAACATGGCGCACCCGAAACCCTGGGGAATTGACAATGAAACTGTTTGATCCCTGGGACCACTGTGTCAAGCTGCTTGGAAACCACCCGGCCCGCCTACGAGGGTCAGCCTCCAAACTGGGCTGCGACCCCGCTTTGCCGGCCTCCGGAAAAGAGCTCGGCTTGCGTAAAAACTGGCGAAAAGATCGTGTGGGATGGAGAAGCGCTCTCTCATATGCCTTGAGCCAGTGGCGTGTCACATGAACCCACTCGGCTCAAAAAAAGCAAAAGATTGAGCACGCGTACAAATCCGCCGACACCTGCTCCACTCTGCAGGGAGAGGCGCCTCAGAAAACGAAGCATTGCCAATGCTTTGTCCACCACCGTGCCTCAGACGGGCAATGCTCTTGCACTAAGCCAAGAAAGGTTGTAAACTTGCGAGCCAAAAAGGCACTTCCCAATCTCAGGTCATAAAACTCACTGGTTCGACTCATCAAAAAGTCCCGGGTGTCGTGGCAAGCTCTTCAGGGTCGGCGGCACTGGGCGGCAGCCCTTCACATTGCAATTGCAATGCCAGGACCGCTGTGATTTACAAGACATTTTCTTCCGGCTACTCAGGCGACAAATAGGCCAAGCAACCGTCCAGTATCAAGAGGAACTCGGAACAGCAAGCAACACTTCGTTTCGGCTCATTTCAACACTGTTTCCACACCGTGCTTTGCATCGATGAAAAACGACTCCGCCAACAGAATCGGCCTTGCGAAAGCCTGCCACAAAGAAGCCCTCCACATCCACGTGATGGGGCCACACCTCGCTGGGGATTGATGGGACGTGCGCAATGTCCTGAGGCCGTGGCTGGCAAACACGCGTGAGCGCACCTGCGCTTGTGCGTGCATGTGCGTGTGCATGCGGGGGTGTGCATGCGATTCAGTGTGACTGTCTTCAAGACAAATGTCTAACAATCAAAATCATTGATGCTGGTGTGTCTTTTTGAGGGTACCCTTGGTAAGGTTGTATCAAAAGAAACCACCCAAACAAACCCATGTTGAGCTTTGGAGCCCACTGAGAAGGGCCAAGGTGACATGCTCAGTCTTAGCATCCCGGCGCGTAGGAATCCTTCTTCTGTTTCAATGCAAGGCAAGCCAAGCCTGCAGCACAGGAAGGAAAGCTGACCGAATGCATGCAGCTGCGCGAGATCCGGCATCAATCTTTCTGCTTGACAAGGCGTGCCTTCTAAACAAACAGAATTTTCTGTAGCTGATGCCGTTTAGCTGATTTGACTCGCACCAGTGCTCCCTCTACGCTTGAAGCTTGGTAGCAGTGTCCGGCATCAGCCGTGAGTGCTAGCCCATCATGCGCAACGCGAGACATGCAGCTCCGCGCCATCCTCAAATCCCTGCCAGTCCACCAAAAGGCAATCGTTTGCTCCCAGTTCGGCGCTCGGGATCACTCGCTACGGCCCGTTGGAGGCCTTTTTATCGCGAAGCACCCAATACCCCGCCTGAGCGGCAGCACCTCCGCCCCACGGGCGCGCAGCCAGCGGCACCTGAGAGACATGGGCGGCGACCTTTTGAGATCCTCCCAGCTGATCTGCTCAGATTTGAAGCCCCTTGAGCAGGCTGCACGTGGGCTGGTTGGTTTTTTAGTGCACCCAAAGCGTGGAAAGTCGAGCGTTCCAGCTGCACCGCAAGACGAGGATCGAGAAATCAGCGTGCAAACAACCGAATCAGAATGGTTCTGCACACGCGTGCTACTACACCTCAGGCAAAATGCCAGTGGCGCACTGACAGCTTGTACGTTGATACATGTCTTTTTCTCATGGGCTGGCATCTACAGAGAACAGGCTGACAGAAAGGTTGCCAGCCGCGGGCCAAGGCTAGGAAGGTGGCTAGGGGGTGCACTGCACCTCATTCTCCTCCTGGTTGAGAGTGCAGGTTGAGTACACCTGGCCGGGGCCATTGTGAACAACCTCCTTCTCTTGGCCCTGCCCACAAGAACAAGATCGGAAGCCCATCGACACGACTGCCGGAGACAAAACGGGGATGCGGCCTGAGCCCATGTTTCCCAAGGCGGGCGTCACGAGAAACACCTTTGATTAGTTTGCACTCCTGTGCCGGAGTTCTTAACTGCAAAAAACGTGAAGAGGCCTGCACATGGGAGAGTAAACAGGCTCATCAAAGAGTCTAGGACCACCTCACAGTATGCATGCATCCCTCGTTCCAAAGAAACGTGATGGGGGGAGTACGCCAAACAGCACGAAACTCCGTGCTCGCCACCCCCGAAGATTTCCCAAAAGGCTCCATCTCCTATCTCGGCTTCCCGGCCAACAAGCCGCCAGGCCGCAAGGCCTCCCAGCCACTGAGCAGGAGCTCCCGCCTCAAGGGAACGCAGGACAACCTGTTGAACATAGGTGTCCTTTTTGGGAAAATCGACGGCCCGGGTAGTTGATTGAACCACCAGGTAAACCAGGGCCCTCTACTCTTCAACCGAATCAACCACAAAGGACACCTATGCTGTTGTCTTGCGGTCCAAACAACGTACAGGTTGCCAGCGCTAGGGCCGCTAGGGATGCCTGGTTGCAGATTGCCTCTTGATTTCAGCGATGTCCTTTTCGGGGTTGTAGGGAGACAGGGAGACCAAAAGGAGCCCACGCATGGAAATCCAACATTTTGAGGCAAACCCATTTTCACCAATCTGCCCTCCACGAGCCGAGCCGCTGCAATGCGCGGCGCGACTGGCTGCTGTGATCCTCCTGCACCTAGGACATGCTGAAAACTTCTGCCCTTCCAAGCAATATCAAGCAATCAACGGCCAATCAAACAATGAAACTGGGGTGTCCATCAAGCTCCTGTGCAAATGAACGAAAGCAACCAGTTTGTTTGCTTTCTGCTTCAGGGGGGTTGGCTAGTATCTGCTAGCATCAAGACATCTGTGAATGGCAAAAAAAAAACGAGACTTCACAGAGTCTTCAAAACGTCGGGGCGGCAATTGGCTCTCAGCTGTTCTTCAAGCACTTATTTTTCCCCACGTGGGCATTGCATGTGTCTACGGCCTCCTCTGGAGGCACCGACATGCAAGGTCGGCTCGGCAACCGTCCCTTGAGGAGGTCAAGAATAGCTAAACAACTAGCACCGGCATTTCAAACATGGTCCGCAGCACTGGCAGGGGAATCAGGAATGCAAGGCGCCGCCGACACTGTGGACTTGCTGGCGCGCATATAAAATCGCCCATGCACAAATCAGGATGCCTTCTGGGTCGCGAATCACCTCGGCAAGATGCATGAAGCACTAGGACTTTGAGAAGTCATCTTTGCACACCAAATTAGCACTTCCTTGCTGTCAGTGCCTGTTGCCATGGACCAATGGAACCCAGCCATCTGGCAAAAATAGGCGTCCCGACACCTGGGAACCCAAAAAAACAGGAGTCACTTATTTGTTCTCTTTCAAACAGCCTCAAAAAGGGTCCCCCCCCCCCCCCTTCCTCCCCTATGCCCAAAACGCCACCGGCCACTCGGCCCCCGGCAGCCCCGTCCCTCGCTTGGCCGTGGGCAACACATGCCGCTGGGCCTGGGCCTCGCACCAACGGGATCGGGTCGATGTGGGCGTTCCGTTCTGGAGCGACCGCCTTTTTTGGTTGGGAAACAGACAGGAAACCACCGCTTTTGGGGCGAAAAACCCCTGCTTCGAGACCATGAGCACCAGAATCGATTGGCAATGGAACCTCTGAGTGGACGCCAGCTATTATATGAGGATGATCTCCACCAACCGCTTGGGAGATATTCGACGTCCCCAAAGACTTATGGTCCGAGATATCCCCAAAGGCATGCCCTGAAGACAAAAACACGCCCCAGCAGCAAACCCAGAAGCGTCCCCGAAGACGGCCAAAGACGCCCTCATCCCCAGACATCCCCAAAGACATCCCCAACGATATCTTTGAAGACATCCCAAACGCAGACATTCCAAAAGCCATCCCTGAAGATTCACCCAGCGATACCCCAAGACAATTGACAAGAGATCCCCAAAAGACGTGCCCCCAACCTACGAACACAAATGGTTGTGATCGCACAAATGTTGGTCACCTCGTAACCCTTCCCCAACCTTCAAACGGAAACAACTAGACCCAAACGAGTCAAAGACAAGGACAGCAACCGCCAGCCAGCCAATCAGCCAGCCGGCAACACTTTCGGAAGGGTCGTCTGCGGAATATCTGGATGCACACAGAGATGGCACATGAGCGACGCGCCCATGAGCAGCGGCATACGGTTCAGAACTCAAGTGGGCGACTTCGAGTTCATTTACCCAGTTTTGCGCACAATTGAATCCTGACCATTCCGAGGCTTCCCTTTCTCCCTGAGTGATTGACCCTCGCTGCGCGTAACTATTCGCTCTGCTGTCAAGAAGTTCTAGAGTGATCGTCATGGAAAGCAACACGCCAAAACAATCAAACACAGCCGCGAGATGCAGACCAGAAATAGTCAACATGCTGCTTGCAAGCATCGTTACTGAGGTTGTCTTGAAACGTAGAAAGCCCTAGGGCAGGAAGCCAAGCGCACTAGAGTCAACAGCAGCGAGCAGTTGACTAAATCTGTCTGTGACAGGTCGACCCAAAAAGACAGGGGCGAACTCGATTCCCCTTTGGCGCCTGCTTCAAGGCTTCCAGCGTGCCCCTTTCCAGCTCCTCCTGCCAGAGACACTCGGCACGCAGGCTGCTGCCTGCTGCAGGCTCTCCGCGCCTCCTCCTCCAACTCTTTGCGCTTCAACTCTTCCAGCAACTGCTCCTCTGAGAGTCTCCGCGCATTCGGATCTCTGAGGAGCTCCTCTAGCCTTTCCAACTCCTCGGCTCTCCTCCTTGCCTCGTTTGCTTGCACCAGGCAAGCCACGAAAACAGAAAGGCCAATGCAAGCACCTGGGGTTTTCTGGGCTGCTCAGGGAACCTAATCAGCGATAGCGCCCGGGAGGAACACAAGCGGATTCTCCTCATCACAAAAATATGTTGCTTCCAAACAACTGGCCTGTAGCCTCCCTCCCAAAAGCTAAAAATACTTTAATGCTCAACTTGTTCGATTGCATCTCGAGCCGAGTAGGAATAATAAATGCAGCATTGAGCCAGTTCACACATAAGTCTGCGTGACAAGCACACGCCTACACTGTTTTGGGAGGCAAGAGAGACAGCTAGCTCAGCCGATGTCCGGATCCTCAAGGATGGGGCCAGACGACTCCGTGAGAAACTCTGGGAGGACCATCGTGGGCCCGGTCCCGGGGAAGACGAGCCGGAGGCAAGTACGAGCGCCAAAGCCCCCGAATTCACCAATGAATTTTGACATGAGTCAAGAAGAGGGCCATCAAGCGGCACTGCACGGTTGAGCAGAAGAACCTTCTCCGGAGACGTTTGGCTGTGTCCCAAAGTTGGGGACTCCTTCACATGGGCAGGTTTCCTTATGATTGTCCTTGATAGGCACCCCAGAAGAGGTACCCTCAAACATGAATGCGCATGGGCGCCTGCCTCCTCCCTCCTGGCTTTGCGCCTCGCTTTCTTGTCCGCCACGCGATCCGCAGCAGTCCTGACAGAGCGCTCCTTACTCCATTGAACTGCCCTGTTGGTCACATTATGACATTGGGATGCGTATGGGTGAAGGTGTGCGCACATTGAATATGATGTATATATGTATCTGTATAGATACATATACATATATTCTCACCATGAACTACCTCTGCTGCTCTGCTTCAGAAAAGGAGAAAACACAGTGTGGTGATGGGTTGTTGTCATAAAAACGACGTTTAGAGCAAAACGGGCGCCGTTTTGGATTTGCGTTATACTACCTGAAAAGTCAGCAAAAACCCTCTGTTTTCGCATTGTTTCTTAGGAAGTGTGTGCAGAAAAACACAATGTTCTGAGAGCGTCCACAAACCAAAAGAAACTCTGCGGAAAAGTGCTGGCGTTGCCAAAGGTTGTTTTTGTTCTCTCAATGACTTTCGTTTGCTTGGTGTTCCCTGATTGTGTTTCAGTAAAAACCACACTCTTTTCACTCTTTTCCGTGTCCGCATGACGGAGCCTGTCTGTGCAGGCGCGGCCAATTGGTAAGGCCCCATAACTCACGCAAGCCACCTGTCCAACGAGTATGTCGGGACGGGCACTTGCATCCCCTGCACAAGGGGAGCCGGCCTCATGGCTCTGTACCCCTGTGTCCCCCTACGCACGGCTGCCCCAGGAAGATTGTCCCGGAGCCATCTTTCAACATGGTGGTACCTGGCGTCGGTCCACCGGGCTGCCATGCCCTGCGTCCAAGGGCAAACAGCCAAGCTGCATGGGCGAGTGTGCGCTTGACTGTGTTGCACACGGAGGGCTCTCCACATGGTGGTGAGCAGTCGGCGAAACCACCTAGTCCGTTGGTGGACACTGTAGTCTGGCAGCCTCCCATTGGCTGCCATTGTCGGCTCCCTCCAGGATTGGCTGGCTGCTGAGTATACAGGTCCGTGAAGTCCAGTTGACATCTGGAAATCTACAAGAAGCTGTAGTGGCGAGAGCCATCTGGGTTCTCCCTCCGTCAATGCTACTTGCCACCAGGCTAGCACGGCGTGGACTAGCGGGTGGCCATATCGGGTCTGAAGCTTTTCAAGGCGTGTTGCGATGATATGCGGGACCACAAGTGGGACTGGGCTCACTGTTGGCGGCGGCTGCAGTGTCTCAGGATCTTCTGCCTGACGTTGTTCAAGTCTAACGGCTTGTTGACCAACTTTGACAAAGAACTGATGTAATGTCCGGGTTTTCTCAAATGCGTCTTGCAAGCCGCAAAAAACCGCATTCTGGGTGGCGAGAAAAAGTGGCGTACGTTCACGGTTGCAATGGCCCGCTGCTTCGTCGACAGCGGCATTGTGCAAATATGCCCAAGACTCGAGAGGTGATTCGGCTTGGTGGTCTGCAAGGTGAGCGGCCACTTTGTTCACGCGTATGCTGGCTGATCCTAGGCTGCGCGCAGCATGTGAGACTTTGATCCACAGATCGGCATCCGGATCATTGGGCTTGACAATTTCCCCTGCTATTATGCTATTCGCCTTGGTAATGGCAGCTTGGCAGTCGGACCACACATTGATTGGTCTTTCTGCTGCGACCGCTATTTCGAGCGCGTATAGGATTGCAAGGATCTCTGCTCGGCCTGCTGTTTGCAACAGTCCTCGGACGTGCCCTCGGGCGATGGTGCGCCCTTGGAGAGGATCCTGGGTGTCAACCAGCACTACTGCCCACGCGGCAAACCGGGCTCGCGGAGCGTCACACAGGAGGTTACGCCAAAGGGGCTCATCTGGTGGCCGTGTGGCCCAACCACGGGTAGCCCAACAGTCACTAATGAAAGGCAGGGTCTCAAGCACTTCATGGTCAAGTTCTGCGCGATGGGGCGCAAAGGCAACACAACTCCAGTGGCGATGGTGTACACTATCCGGCACCTGACAGAAACTGCACTGAGGTGTCTGGTCAACCTGCATGTGTGCAATCGCATCGTTAGGAAAGAAGGTGCCGTTCAGGACTACACGCAGGAGTGCTTGTTCCTCCTGCCCTAACTGATGAAAGGACTTTTTGGTAACTTGTGTGTCAACTTGGGCAAGGCCTGAGAATCCTTTACGGGAGGAAACCGTAGTGCCAATCACAATTTGCCAGGAGTGACGCATCCGGATGTCAAGTTCTTTCCAGGCCAAGTCAAGGATGTTGAGCTCGCCTATGTGATCTAACACTTGCCCATTTGGAAGTACTGACCATTGAAGGCGC